TCAAGGAGTATGCTTTCAAGGTATAGCTAGCGCCATTCTCAGGTAGCATCTTGAATTACTTACTGCAACACCTAATTTAATTTTTTTTTTTTGCTTGTCCCCAAGAAATCTGACTACCCAGTAATTCTCTCCTTGGAGAACCACTGTAGCGTGGAGCAGCAGACCGTCATGGCCCAACACATGAGCTCCATCCTGGGGAGCGCGCTCGTCACCAGTCCCCTGGGCGACAGCATGCCCACAAACTTCCCATCGCCTGAGGTTGGTGCCAGCTCAGCTTAATGAGGTTTAAAGCTGTGAAGGGAGAGTATTTCAGCCGGGCAGCGACATGATTACAGGTGTGGATGCATGTGCTCTTCCTCAGGAGCTGAAAGGGAAATTCCTGATTAAAGGAAAGCGATTAAACAAACTGGAGGCCGCCTTCGCTGACGCCACTAAGGAGGCCGAGAACGCCGATGTGACCGAAGAAGAGGAGTCGTGTGACGAGGCAGACGACGAACCAGCGGAGAAGAAGAGCAAGGTGAGGGGGCAACAGTAGCTGTGCTCGTAAATCGGTCTTTTGCCCCCGATGTCTAATTTTTGACCTTTGCATTAGAAGAAACAGCTGAAACTAGCCAAAGAGCTGTCCGACATGGTCATCTACTGCAAGAGCGTCCACTTCAACGGTTTCGAAGACGCCAGGAAAAACCAGAGCTTTTACGAGATGTCGTCGTTTAAAGAGGGGAAAGCCGTGAAACTGGCGGAGGAGTCAGGTAAAGACACAACGTTAAGCATTTGACTCCTCATTATGCTTGGAGTCCACAGGTACAGCCCCATGCAGAAGTGTTTCTTTGAATTTTTCTACATTTTGTTACGTTGGACAAATTTAAAAGTATTTTATTGGCTTTTATGTGACGGAGCAACACAAAGTTATGGGGAAGTTGAAAGCAGAGTTGGATTATAAAACAATAACTCAAGCTTTGAACATCTGTGCAGCACAACTTCAGCAGAGACGCACTCTGGTCATATTTAACGGAGTTATCAATTGGGCTAAATTCATGGCAATCCTGGCTGGAAGCACTTTTAGAGACTGAAACTAAACAATTGACGAGCTCTAGGGGTCATTTTGAAAGAAACCGTAAATGACTTATTCTTGGATTTTTTTGTTCTGCAGCAAATGCCTACATCCGCCACAACGTGGAAAAACTGAGCCGCATTTATCCCGCAGGCTCAAGGACCGACTCTTCAAATTACAACCCAGTACCACTGTGGAACGCAGGCTGCCAAATTGGTGCAAAACCCGACACCCAACGTTACTAATTACTAAAGGAAGATTGTCCCTTCTTTTACATTCTTCACATTCCTTTCATTTTCCCTTTCTCACTTCTGCTCCAGTCGCCCTGAACTTCCAGACGGCCTGCACAGAGTTGGACATAAACCAGGGCAGATTCCTGACCAACGGCACGGGCGGCTACGTCCTCAAACCGGCCTACATGAGGGACGGTGCCACCGAGTTCGACCCCATCACACTGACCCGCGGAGACTGGCTGCAGCACAAGATCCTGCATGTCATGGTGAGGTCCCCAGTGTCAGGAAGGTCTTGCTGTTAGCTTGGGAACCTGCTCAGTCCTAATGTGTTTCGCATCTGTCACTAGGTTATATCAGGCCAGCAGCTCCCTAAAATCAACGAGAAGAAATCCTCCATCGTGGACCCGCTGGTTAAAGTGCAGATCTACGGGGTGCCGGCTGATGTTGCAGAGAAAGAGACCAGTGCTGTCGCGAACAATGGTACAACCTTGTGAAGATTCGGTTCAATTGGGGACCAAAGTTGCAAGATTTGTTACCTTTTCAGCTGCTGCGGTTTGCTTTCCCACTACACTGTGTCAAACGAATTAAAAAACCCGTTCCCGCTTCCGCCTGTGGTGGCGCTGCACCCAAAAAAAAAAAAACATTGAAAGAAACAACCTGAAAAGCTCTGAAGAAGACAAGAGACCAACTTCCTTCTCAGAAAAATGAAAATAAAAATGAAACAGCGGCAAATTTTAGCAGGTGTAGAATTTCTCTTTTGCAAAAGGCCACGAGAAATTTCTCCCACTGGCGGGAGACTCTCGTGTTTTGTTCACGAATGAAGGTTGAAACTTTGCCATACCAACTTTATTTATAAAGCACTTTAAAACAACCACAGCTGACACAAAGTGCTGTACATAAAATAAATAAAAACTCTCACAGTTTTTAAACAAACAAACATACAATGTAAAAGGAGATCTCGCTGGAGTTTACTGGTAAACATGTGAAATGGAAATAAACCTCTACTTTCACCGTACAAAGAAAAAAAAACATAATGTGAGCCAAAACACAAAGCGTACTTAACGGTTGCAAATCGTTTACGTTTGCAACTTAAAATACCGGCTAAAAGACAAGTTTATGTCAAATGTTGAAACAAGAAATTTAGTTACTCAATATTTAAAAACGCAGGCATTTACACAATAGACATACCTTACCGCATCAAACGCCTTCACACTACAAATAACTCATAACGTCGGTGTTACGGCACGTCGCTTACATCTCTGCTTTACGTTTGAAGGTTTCAACCCAAGTTGGAATGAGAACTTCCAGTTTGACGTGTATGTGCCGGAGCTGGCGTTGGTTCGCTTCCTCGTTGAGGACCACGACTCCACGTCAGGAAACGAGTTCGTCGGACAGTACACGCTTCCGTTCAGCAGCCTCAAAATGGGTATGTCTTAGTTTGTTTCTGCCTGTAGTTGCAGGCGTTTTTTTTAAATTATTTTCTTCAGCGCCTGTAAGGGCCAATGACTCCCTAAAGGACTCATTGTTCTGACGTCACATCAGAACAATGAGTCTGTGAATCCGATATCAATATCTGCATTGGTCCCAATATTGGAAAAAAAAAAAATCGAGATCGGACGTAAGTGACAGGCTAATCTAGTCAGTCTAATTCTATGCTTTTTACTCTGTGACATCATGCTTTTTTATATATTTTTATGAGTTTGACATTTTTATTTGTCCTAATTGTCAGTTTCAATTCCTCATTTATTTTTACATTTACTTGTTTGCTCCTAATTGCACTGATTGAACAACTTGAAGTTATTTGTACACGTTTCACCAAACTTGTGAAGCTTTTGGTGCATTTAAGTGTGAAGTACTGGTGGAGATTTATCAAATCAGTTTGTAGTTCAATGCATTTCTGTCTCTGTTAAAGAAAAAATACAAGAGATTTTAAATGAATTCAGCAATGTTTTTATGCCTGTAGTTGAAAGGCGTTGAAGCCGATGCTGAAACTCATATCGGTATCGGAAGTGAAAAAAGTAGATCGGTGCATCCTTAGTTACAGCCACATGACATAACAGAAAGCAGTGCATAATTTAAAAAAAAAATTAAATAATCAAAATTCACCAAACACTACTGTGTGTTGTTCTATCACATAAAATTACACTGCAGTTTGTGGCCATCATGTGAGAAACTTCAAGACTCTTGTTTTTTGTTTGCAAAGGAACAGAAAAAGGAACTGTTCCTTTTCTGAGGGAGGAAACGCAGCTTTCAATTCAGGCTCTACACAAACAGCTCTTCTCATTTCTGGCTTTCTGATCACTGAGCACATCTGCTTCATCTGCCCTCTCCCACACAGGATACAGACACGTGCCTCTGCTCAACAGGAATGGTGACAAGCTGCCCTCAGCCGGACTCTTCGTTCACGTCATGGTCGTGGACGCTGAATGAAACACCAGACTGCGTGGCGCCCCGCCCCCAAAGCCCCGCCTGTGCCACTGCAACAAACCTGAACCTTGTTCACTCAGCAACCATGTTCTTTAGATTATTTTTTTAGTTTCTTTTAGAGGAAAGTTAACTTACAGATGTTATCGTAGTAGTTCAAAATGAGACTTCAAAAGTAATACGAGGATTATGGATTCATTGTCAGTCACAATGGGTTTAACTAACTCATGTCCTCAATTTTAATCAGAATGTTTTTGTGAAATTATTTTAGGTAGTTCAAAGATAAACAGCCTAGAAACGGCATGCTTTGTTTTCACCAGTAGATTCAGCCATTAATGATCTAGTTTTCATGTACAAGAATTTGACCTTTTCCTTTTTTATCATCAGTAAACACTTTAAAAGTGAAACTTGTGTGTTTTTTAATTTTTTTTTGTATCAGACTGTGCAGCAGGTCAGTCTGGATGTGCCTCACGAGACTCAGGCAAGGAGAACGCCTTTTGACTTTCCACAGAATAAGATTGTTGCCAAGTGAACTTTGGGTTGACCCACCCTTTGTACACAAAGTGTCAATAAAAGACAGTCAAGGAAGAGCTGCAGTAACTTAATGAAGAAGTCAAAGCTCAATGAGCTCAACAGGACATTAATTAGAAAAGGGACAAACCCCTGTGAATATGTGTATGTCATACTTGAATATGGCACACATATTCAAGTATGTTCTAAGTTTTTATCTCCAAGTTTTTTCCAGATCAGACGCATGACGTTCTTGAGTTACGGCAGCCATACCACCAGGGGGCCCCCAAGAGAACTGAGCTGGCATGATGAAATTTGGAACATCCGAATGATACCTTGCTGCCCACTTTTTGAATAACATCTCACAGTAGCAAATTCAAAGGAAATGACAATAAATAATAAAACTAAATATTTTTAAACATTTCTGTTTTTATAGTTGGATTAATATCTTCCTCCTGTTGTCAGCCAACACTTGGGGAAAATATCAAAATTAATTTGTTCATTACAAATGTATTTTTCAGCTGATGTTTTTTTTTTCCCCAACAATAAAAAATGAAATTATGCAGCACACTTAAAAAAAAACCTGCATCTTAAATTCCACTTTTCCAAAGGTTTGTTACTCCTGTAAGGTCGCAATCAACAGCCATAATCACACTGTTACAATGTAAGCCAATTACAAAAAATGCTAATGATAGCGATGTTACACACAGAGAAGAAATAATGAAGCATCTGGTGTCAGTTGGTAGGTGTGGGCCCCCACCCACCCCCCAAGAGAAAATCTGCTTAGGGTCCCAAAAAGGCTTGGACCGGCCCTGATTTATTCATCCAGCAGTGTGGTTAACATAGTGTTATAAAAGAAGTGGCAAATACTTTTTCAAAGCTTTGTATGATTAAAGAAAAAACAAAACAGACATGATAAATTTATAGTTTCAGTGAAGACTTTATTAAGGAAAGAAAAAAAAAAAACAACAAATGCTCAGAATGACAAACACTGCCAATACTCAAAAGTCAACAAAAACCAGCATGTTAAAAAAAAAAAGAAAAAAAAAAGAAGTGAAGAACCTGATCCAAATAAAAACCACTGTGGTTTAAACTCAAGTGTTTCAGAACTTTGGTGTTAATACAAACTGAACAATGTGATTATAAGTGAAAATGATACATGGTGGGGAAAAAAAGAACAGAAAAGAACTAAGAGAAACCAATGGACCCACAAACTCGTCCCCTGATATGAGGGTCGAGACCTGATGGGGCTTTTACCAAAAGGTCTGAAAGAGAGAAAAGAACAAATACCTGAAAAAAAAAGGATTACATGCTAATTTTTATACCAAATACTGACGAGATGTAGGTAGAAAAATATTACAATAAAACATTTTCAGATAAATAAATCAGTGAGAGGTGGAGAAGAGTAGAAGCAATGCTTCATATCCTTGGGGAAAAAAAAAAAAAGCATTGCACTGAAACCATAATGACCTGAACACTCACTACCGACAAATGCAAAAACACAGAGAGATCAGATAATCAGGTTTTCCCTTTTCCTGAACGAGCAGCGACCTTAAAAATTGGGGGGGAAAAAACAGGAACTTATGAAGTAGTGTAGCCGTCTCATAAAATACCCATTAGTGAATCTCAGCATCGGAGGCCAAACGACTTCGGCTGAGTCGCACGTGATCTGCATGTGCAGATCGGCTTCTAAACTCTGAAATAAAAACACCGCAGACGCAACAGCAACCTTGTAAAACGTAACGCTGGAATCGAGGAGGAAGAATTGCTTTTGTGTCTCCGTAGGCAGTAAGGCGTCAATGCCAACACATTTTAGGCTCTTCACAGTCCCCCCTTTTTCTTTCATTTTCTTCCAGTTTCATTGCCCTGGTTGTTTGTCATTTTAGCCTGGACCGGGACTGAGGACCCTCGTCTCCTCGCTGTGGCATCCTCTTCACAGTCTGGCTCGATGAAAGCTGGTAAACATGGCGATGTCGTCGACCTGTTCACTGCGTGCAACATTCAAAATTGTTCCAGCACTTTAAAATCAGATTTTTTTTTTAAAAAAGGTCGTCTTTCATCAAATCGTGTCGCAGTCAAACCTCCACTACCGAGATTTGTCAAGTGCTCTTAGAAACGACAAACATACCGGACAGGAAAGAACGAGAAAACAAAAAAGAAAAAAAAAAAAAAAAAAAGGTTATTGCCATGGTAGCTAATGTTGCAGCATTCGGTTTTGCTGGGCTCTTCTCAAACATAGGCACTGAGGTGAAGAAGAGTTTTTTTTGTTTTTTTTTCCCCCCTCTTTAAAAAGAAAAAGTCTGGGAAAATAAACATCAAATATGGTCTTCGCTGGTTTTTACACCAGGGCTGAATAAGGCCAGGCCACGACCGCACACAAGTCAGAATGAAGGTGTGATTTTTAACAACAAACTCTTCCTAACGATCCTGGAGTCTGACAAAAAAAAAAAAAAAAAACATGGCACTTGGACCATTTTGCTGCAACAACCCCCAGACTTTCAAAAAAAAAAAAAAAATTTTTAAAAAAGCGCACATAAAAGAGCTAGCCATCTGATAAACATGACAGATCATCTCAACACACAGAAAATAAACTATAATGCTATATTTAGTAATGGTCTACTCAAAGTCTGGCGAAGATATGAAGCGTGCTGAAACACATTTCCTCATTTTGGCAAATAATAAAATGCAATATGGGAAACAATGTGACAGAAACGAAGAAATGGCACAGTTTTATCTGAGCTTTCAGACCAAATGATAAAAAAAAAACAAAAAAACAACCCAGCTTGCAGGAGGGGGGGTTGATGTTCTCAACTGCAAGCATTCTCCTAATGACTAGCTCTACAAATAATAATAAAAGCTGAAAGAAACAAAGTCACATCTAAATAATGGCACAAGAAAACTAAAAAAAAAAAAAAAGTACTATGAAACAAATAGCCAGCGGATGATGATAAAAAAAAAGCAAAGTCCTTGGATAAAGATACTTTTGTGTCCACTTTAAAGCATATTCTGCCATGTAGAAAACGACTCCCCATATAAACGACATTCATACAAGGCACTTCATTCAGTAAGAAAAGAGTCACAGTCCATCCTACCACCAGAAACTGCCTGCATAGCAACAATATGAGGACAAAATAGTTTCCAGGCTTTTGTGTGGTACCACAAAAAGAGTCTAAAGATGGAAAGTTGATTTTTTTTTTTTTTTGTCTTTTACTTTTGGTTTTAAAAATTAGCACTTTACTGAATAGTAAAAGTCTGCCGATTTGAAAATAAAGACCAGAGTTCGTTCCTCTCAGCATTTTGTCCTCCGCTCTGTCCGCTTTCTGTGAGACACAGTGGTCCTGGGGTAAGAAAGGTTTTTAAGTTTGTTTTTCTGATGGCACTCGGAAGGCAGCCAGTCATCAGGAGGAGAGACAAGAGAGAGGGGGAGAGGGAGAGGGTTTCCACAGTGACGCGCTGCCGTCGTGTCGTCGTCCAGGGGCCGGAGACGACGACGGGCCGGACAAAGGGACAGAGAGCGACCGATGGAGAGGAGGAAGAAGAGGAAGGCGGCGTGTCCTGCTACCTGCTCCGGAAGTTCTGCAGGACTCCGTAAACCTCCTCTTCTTTGCTGAGTCCCTCGAAAAAAGGCAGCAGGTCCAGGAGTTCTGTGTCATTCATGTCGTCGAACCAGGACTGAACCGGGACCTGGGAGGACAAGGAGCGACGTCAACACTCGGCTTGGCGTACGATTCAAAGGACGTATTCTAATAACCCTCAGAACTTCACAGGATAGTTGGATTTATATTTAGATTGCACAGAGGCGGAAAATAGTTACTATCAAAATGCCTATGAAAAACATTGAATTTTGTTGTTGCAATGTAACAAAATGCAAAACATTCAAAAGATAGAAATGATTTCCAAAGGGACTGAAAGAAAACTTGCTATGTATGGTGCTCTAGGGCACATGTTTTTGAGTTAAAAGATGTTTAAATTTGGCAAGAAAGGTGAAAATATCACATGATAGTTATGTGTTATTGGAAGACTGTAAGGTTAACACCTAACCTCCAACCTTAAAGTCTTAAAAAGAGGCAATAACAAAAAACTTAAATAATTCTAAGCCTGGTGGGGGCACAAGTAAAGCCTGGTGGTCTGCCAGGCTTATAATACACTGAGGGAATCCCTTGGACTGTTTGGTGTTTCCTGATGTAACCCAAGTAGAAACAGACAATAAACAAGAACTTACAGCATTTTCTGGATGGAAAATATAGGACGCGGGTGAATTGTCGACAATAATAACGTTGTTGAGCTCCCGCCCCAGCCGGCTGAGGTCTTTGACGTAGTTCCCTCTGTGAAACACGCAGGACTCTCTGAAGAGCCGAGCTCGAAAAACGCCCCACTGATCCAGCAGGTCGGCCACAGGGTCTGCGTACTGTCCAAACACACACACACACACACACACACACACACACACACACACACACACACACACACACACACACACACACACACACACACAAAAGCGCGTCACGTTGGTGAACATTAATACACACTTTTTAAAAAATTTTGATCTTAATGTAGAGCACAGAGATGTGTTTCAAGCCACAGTTTTAAGCAGAACAACTAAATGCAAAACTACAGTTTCAAAATAAAAGCATGGTATTGGCGATTAATTATTAAGCAGGGAAGATGTCAGCAAACTCTAGCTCACAAAAAGCACTGTGGTTCCTAGCCTTTTACTTGGCATGTAAAACGGCTCTTAAAGCAATAATTACTACAGATGCACCGATCCGATATTCATATCTGTATCGGGTATCAGTGGCGATGTCTACGATCTATAAGAGCTGATCTGTTGAGTCTAATTCTATGTTTTATTTAACAAATATTAGCATATCTAATTTTGCTTTCTGAACCATTGGAAAGAGGAAGGTTTGTTGCACTTCATTTCATTTTCTTTATTATTTATTTTACATTGACTGTTCTAATTACACTGACTGAACCAATTAAAGTTGTTTTTACATGTTTGACGAAGCTTGAAGTACTTGTGCAGAGTTACCAAATAAATTTGTTTTTTAGCACATTTATGTGACCTTTGTTTTTTCTAAATAAACGTATTAAGTCAATGCAGCTCAGATGTTGTCTGGAGTGAAAAAGTGGATCGGTGCATCCCTAATAATTACAGGCATGTTTCTTGATCATCTCTTAAGAAAACTTACCGATTTATTATTGGAAAAGATACATAAAAGAAAAAAAAAACAAAAGGACGACAACAAATCAAACGATATGAGAAGACCAAAAGAGCACAATAACAAAATGAAGTGTCACTAGTTAGTAGACAAAACAGAAAAAAATGATAAAATCCCCCAAACCTTAGCGAGACTGGCCGTGAAGAGCACACATTCAAACAACTCTCCCATCTTCTGGAGGAACTCGTCCACATGGGGCCTTTTCAGCACATACACCTGAACCAGAACCAAAGACATCCCATTAAAAACCCAGCTCTTTCATTTCCACCATGTGTTGTTTTCACATAGTTCAGCTGCAGCATTGATGTTAGCATAAGTACTTCCCACGTCCCTCGCTCTCCGCCCATTGGCCGACACCCAGTGCAAGTAATCATGAATAGGCCAACCAGGATACACACAGCCTATCCTGGATTACTTGAACTGGATACCAGTCAGTCTCTCCAGGGTCTTCACACAGGAAAGCAACAGAAACTCCTCCCCCCCCCCCAAGAGTCACTCATCTGGGTCACAGAAATGTTTTTGGTTGTGTACAATACCTGATGAACGGTACCATCGATCTCCACCGGTACAATAAAATCAGCGTTACTGATGGGCTGCAGACACAAACAGAACGCATGAGGATCACAGTACTGCAACCGAACAGCAGAGGTCCTGCTTGCAGCAATTTTGGACAAAGTCCTAGCAGATGGTTTGACTGGCGAGTTGCTCTTCTCTCTTTAACCTGTGTGGTAATTCAGCAGCCCAGACAATGAAGCAGCTATTTTAGGACTAACTAGACAGCCTCCTGGTAAAACGATGCAAATGGGAGCAGAGTCACTCTCAGATAACAATTATAATAAACAGAACTAGAGGTGTAGAGCCTGACACGGCTTCTTTACACGTTTACTCAAACTAAACACAATACATGGTTTCTGCAGGTGTTTTAAGACGTTTTAAAGACTACTATGAATGAGATGTAAGACCAATATCATGACAGAAATTTACAAAAGAAAAGAAAATATTGACAAGTTTTTTTTCTTTTTTGTGCACAAAATCCACATGACATCACATTGGTTAGCAACAGAGGTGAGTCAGTGGCGAAGACGACTGTCGTCCAGTCAACTGGCCATAAATTTATATTCCCACATTATAGAATTAAAAAAAAGAAAAAACGAGTTAGCGGTAGCTTCAACCATCTCATGTCACAGAACAAAATGCAGATCTGAGAATGAGATCCCAAACGTTTGGTTGACAGAAAAGTTCCAAGTTTAAGAAATTGCACAATTATATGAAAATCTGACCTTTGTGAAGGCAGGTAAAATTGGTGGACAAAAAAAGTATTTGCTGATAACCAATCTCCCAAAATTAAAAGAAATTGTGGCAATTTATTGGTGTACTCCTTTTTAAGACAAATACTGCTAAGCAGAAAGAAGAGACACATTTACTGGTGACAAATGAACAGAACAACAACTTCAGTCCCTTCTTACCTTAAATGAGCTGTGCACAAGTGTTTCATCCAAGTCTATCACCACACACTTTCTACCATAGTCAGATATTTTCATCTCTGGTAGGAGGTATTTGGCTGGCGGCTGCAGAGAGGAAGAGGCAGATGATGTCAGATCTACTGAGCGAAAGCTGGCATTAAGTTTGCCATCCTACAGGAGAAGCTCCCAGACATATTGTGTTAGAAAGGCACATTTTCACGGCCAGCACGGAAACGGAGTTAAGCCAATTCCAGAATTATGCCTGAAACTGGGTCAAAGCTTTAAAATGACAAACACGTCAGTCCCTTGTTAGTGGAAATTTTCCTGCTACTCCAGATGTTGCTGGCGCAAATCTTTGTTCTCAGACTGCAGGTTTTTCAGAGTTTCTAAAAGTAAAATAGCAGCCAGATCTTTTAGATATCAGTTGTAGCCAATGATGCAGACATGCTGTTGACTTTTAAGATCAGGCTTACACTTTGCTCTTTTAACAGGGAAACTATTTTCCTCCTGTTGAAGGGGAGTTTTTCCTCTCCACTGTCGCTAGATGCATTTACTGAGGATCATCACACCATTTCAGTGATATTTTAGTAAATACAGTAAAAGGTTCCAATGAGGTTTGATGGTCAGATTAAAATACCCTTGTGAAAATAACTAAGCTTAATTTTCTGTATTTAAAATGTTTTTTTAGTGGCTAAACGTAATATTCTAATCTTAAATATTGTGTTTTCATTAACTGTCAGATAAAAATTCATCATGATTAACAAAAAAAGGCCTGAAAACAATGTGTGTGATTAATCTTAATGCGCTTCACCTTATGGTTAGTTACTGAAATAAATGGACTTATAAATATTCTAATTTATGAAACAGAGTACTTTGTAAAGACAGGCAGGCCACTGCCTGCATATAAATATATTTTAGCAAACCGATATAAATTTGAAAGCAAGATCATCTTTAATTTAATTCGTCTCCGTTGGCGGGTTTGGAAAGTATAAACTGAGCTCCGACGTGTTAGAAAAGGTGTTGCTGCATACGACAGCCACACACACGTTGCATCACATCTTCTAGTATTGGCCGTGCTTCAACTCTGGTAGCAGGAAATCGTCACAAACTTTACAAATCATTAGCGACATCCAAGCTGGAGTGCATTTGCTTGAAGGAGCAAAACTAAAATATCTCTGATGAGACGACAGGTTGCTAGTTGTTTATTTGACACTTTTGTATTTTTCCCACCATTATACGAGGTCGTGGAGAGTTATACGTTTCTCAGGAAGTGCTAGTAAACCCAACCTACACGGGAAATGTGCCTCCGTGTCGTACGAGAGTAGCAGAGCCTTGCTGGTGAGTAATCTGATTTAGCCGGCCACAGGTAAGCAGATCAGAGCTTTGACTAAAGGGATCAATTAGTTTTACCCGAGTGAGCTCACAAGCCAATGAATGAAGTGCTTGAATCATTTTTTCCACTTAATTTATTAGTAGAATGACAAGGTAGCTCATAAAAATGGACGTTTCTGAAACGAGCTGCTAAAACAGTTGTGTTAATAACTTATTAGTGGACTAAGTGTTATTCATGCATGTCAAGTGTCTTGTAAAAGAACGCATATGTCAATACTACTACAGTTCATATAATTTAATAGGATTTTATAATATAGGCCAACAAACTAGTGCAGAATTGTAGCGTAAAACAAAACTAAATCATGCGTTACAACATTTCTGACCACAGTCTCGATGATGTAGCGGGCATTTGAATTCAATTTTCATGACTGTTTATAATTTTTCTTCCACTTCACAACAATGCATGACTTTTTGGTCAAGTACTGCAATAACTCTGAGGTTGTAAATAAATTGTTTTTAAAAAAAAGTCCAAACATTTAAAGTAGGGCTGAAACGATCAACTGATTATTTATCATTACTGAAATAATGGTCTGCTAATTTAGTAATCGATCATTAAATGCGGTGTACAGAGTCATAGGAAGGCCAACTGGTGGAAGATGAACACACTCAGAGAAACAGCAATTAAACCAATACTACAAAATATGTACATATAAAAAGTGGTCTGTGATTATATTCCAGTGAAGTCTCAAGTGATTTTCGCTTCACTAAAGTTCAAATTCTGTAAAATAAAATCCTTTTAACCACTTTTTGCTATCTAATTATTGATCGGTTAACAAATAAAAATTGTCGACATTACGCTGTATTGATGTCAAGTCGGGCAGAAACGGCTGAGCTTTTCACGTTGATTTGTTACAAGTGATCAAACGATCAATAAAGGAATGCTACGTTCTAGCATTTTAGGTAACAAAATGTTTGTCTTATTTATTACTTGCATTTTAATGTCCTTATAAAATTTTATAAAAAGGACTAGGTTGTTAAATTCAAAAACGAAAAGCAAAATAAGCAGAATGTGATCATTTGCTTATCCGATTAATCGCCTAAACAATCGATAATTATTATTAGTTACAGCCCTAATTTAAAAAGAGACGTGAACATTTTTGCAAGCGCTCAACAGTTTTGTGAACTAGGTGCGTCCATCACACACCTTCCACACATCCTATGATATAATCAGCTGAAAATAAAGTGAAGCAAATGAAGCGGATTGAAAGCTCTGTGAGGAGCCCACACAGAGAGGCTGCACCAACCTACCGGCCTGCATGCAAGGAAGAAAAATAAAATGTGTATGATACATACACTAGGGACAGGGATGACCTCGACCTGGTCACACTACAACACAAGAGAAAATGACAAACAAAACCCAGGGTAAGGATTAGAAGAACACACACAAACACAACACAACAGATAAAGGTCACAAAATCAAACAATAACAAAGACGCTATTCACAAAAGATGAAATAGGGGCTGCAGGGTGAGCTCTGTCCGAGGTAGCCTACCTTGGGAGGCGATCCGTTCTCCTCGACAGGTGGAGGCGGAGTGCTGTTGGTGGCTGGTGGCTCCACATTGTAGTTGCGAAAGCAACAAAATAATGTGCTGAATATGCTTCGGCTCCTCTGCTTCTTCAGGCTACTGCTCGACTGGGATGCTGTCGAAAGAGAACAGGCACAGGAGAAGGGGGTGAACTTGCAGAAATGCTAACAGATACGTCGAACTACGGGAAACTACAGATCCCCCCAGAAGGCTTTTCCTAAACAATAGGGGTCAAAGGTGCTGCACGTGCTTTGATACACTGAGTGACTTCAAACTGAAAAGGACTTGCATGATTTTCCCCATTTATTCACGAAACAGAGTTAAAATGACTAATAAAATGAATTGATTTTTGAAATAATGGTCGATTGATTTAATAACTGATTAACTGTAAAGCATCTTTTAGTGCACTTCTAATACTGTATGAAACATGGACAAAGTGGTCAAATGAAAAATCCGCAGAATGTGCCCAAATATTTTTATGCAACTAATCGCCTGCAAAATCAATTACTAAAAACAATCCTTACCTGCAGCCGTATCCCTAATCTTGATCTGCTTTTTATTAAACTCAAAACAAAACACATCAAACTACTTGCTGCTGGTTAATGCATTTATATTTTATAAACAAGACCAAAAAAAAAAAGAAGAGAAAACAAACAATAGACGGTTGAGGAAAAAATATATAAATAAATGCAACAAATTGACCCTCAGACTGGGGCAGTTCTACTAAAAAGTATTTAGATTTAATAATTCCTGTCAAAAAGTACAGACTGATGAGATAACTACTTAGTTCAATAGCGTTGAGGCCATTGAACAAACTAAACAATAGTCTGAACAGTGCGACCACGGTGCATTCGGGTGGATTTTGGAGACGACCTCTGGAAGAACTGATCAGAAAATAACTCTGCTTGCTGGATGACCTCATCACTCAAACGCTGTGACAGTTCAGAGCGCGCTCTACTCCAATTGCAAATCGCCTCTCATTCCTGAACTTCGAAGCATGAACTAAATCAGACGCCGAGTCTTTATTAATAGGGACGACTCAGAAGCTGTACAATCCTCCTAACCCAACCCCCAGAAGTGCCGTCCATCGCCTGATAGGACAAGATCCTTCTTTTTTTTTAATTCACCATAGTTTCCCCTCCTGTTTGAGCTGGCAGGTGAGTGACGGAAGCAGCCTGAACATGCAGAGAGGAAGAGGGAAGAGGAGGAGGAGGAAGAGGGAGGCTCTAGACCCCACAGAGCCTATACATGGCTGCATTCCTCTCCAGCCATTAACCCCACAGCTCCCCCCAGCAGAATGCAGCCAGAGGGCCAGCACACAGCAAAGATCTTTACGTCAAATCTTTCGGCATCTTAATATTGTGACACTTTGGACTCCTGGCCTTAAACAAATACAACAGGAAGCAGATCAGTCCCAAAAGAAGAAATGTTTCATTCTGGTAACTGTAATGCTCCCTGAGGTGATTTTTCACAGCCGTGTTTGGAGGAATAAAACACTCCTGCACATGCAGATTACGGCAGCGTGTCGGAGTTACTTGTAATGCTGTCTGCTGTCGTTTCCTACAGCTTTGACTGACGTTAATTACAGCCTTTTGAGCAAAGACATGCTGGGTATTTAGGCCAGCTGATCAGTGGCTTAAGACCCTTCAATAAAACAGAAAGACGGACTCAACAAGGATGCAAAGTGCTGTGAAAAACTATTGCTTTCCTTTTATTGTCTCACTTCAAACCCAACATTTTATTGTCAGAAGTGACTTTTAGATGATGATTTAAAAAAAAAAAAAAGAGTAGAAACAGGCTATTCAATCATACTTGGACTTTGGGAAAAGTAATAAAACCATTTGTTAAGTCATAAATTGTTAATTATTTTATTAGTGGAATATTCTACCGATTATTCTCATGATTAATTGGATTTTAGAAATTGCGCAATCTGAACTGGGTGAAGCGTAAACTGTCCCACTAGGGATGTCTCTTTACTTTGTGAAAAAGTCAAGAAAAAGTAAAGACATTCTTGGAGTAGCAGACGTCAGCAAGGCAGTCAAACGAACAAAAACAAAATGTAATTTTTTTTTTTCCAGATTTGGTTTAATTACTGCTTTGACTGTTCTTTCAGAAAATGGCTATTTTTAGAGCATGTATACTTCAATCAACACTTAATCGATTGCTAAATTAGTTAATGATTATTTCAATAATGGATTAATCACAATTAATTGTTTCATCCCTACATAAATGAACTTAATTGCATTTTTTTTGTTGCCACACGAGTCAGGCCTAAATACCACACAGTGTGTAAAAAAATCTAATTTTTTGAACAGTATCACTGTAATTTTTACAATCTGAAGAGATATTTTGCTCATAGGACAGCCAAATAAAATTCATTTAGAGTCGTAGATGACACATGACTTCTTTAAAAAAATTGTCATCAAAGTTACTGACAGCCACAGTGGAAGGTCCAAAGAGCCACTTCAGTTAGCCACCTCTTCAAGTCTAAATTGATCCTTTTTCAAAAAGAGGCCATGCGACGCCCTTATCGGTGATCGTTGGCTGTGGTAGAAAGTTGTGACAGTAAAAATCTTTGGGGTAGTAGAAGTTAGGAAGGTAGTCAGATGTAAACTGCGTTAATCCGCCTCGTCAGCCGGGATCATTTCTAAACCTCTTATGAGGCTCAGGAGCGGAGCGTCGTCGATGCTGCTGCACAACAGCTAGTCTGACACAAAACTTATCATGTCGCCGCTCATCTGATGACCTAATACAATTGGCAGGTTCAACCAATGTAACTTCACACAGAAACACAGACAAACAAAACAGTCCCAAATTTAAGAGTTTGTTTGGAATTACAAACTGACAGCACTTTGCTAACTTTCAACTCTACTGACGAGAATTATAGTTTGACTGAAAATATTCATTTTCTGACAAACATCATTTCTAGGATGTGTTTGCTTATTAAGCTTACTGATACTACACATTTCTAAAAAAATATTACCGATATCTTCCAGAATCTAACATAAAATGAAGTCAAGTTTGGAGTTTATGATATTTAAATTGGTCTTCTAGTCTGAAACAGTGAAGGGTAAAATCTAAAGTAGAATAAACTTTTGGAAAGAGAAGGTAGTCAAACAGACTGGGCTTTCTTTTAAACTAAAAATACTCTCATCAGCAACAAGGTTTGAATTTATCCAATGGACTTTGACTCAGCTCTCTGACTCCGCAAAGTAAAACCAGACCAGTGAGGCAGCTGTCGCCTTCCAGTGACTCACCAGTAGAGTGTTCATTCACCCACAATTCATCAGAACCATACAGGACGACTGGATCACAATGTAAGTGTACGCATCATCATTTTTTTAACAGGAAGATAAGTCCTAAACAAACAAACAAAAAAAGATGACAAAAATGTTGTAGTGACTTTGTTCTCCTCACAGAGCCATCAGACCCCCAATCACTGCTGTCGAAAAATACACACAGGACAGTTGAAAAAAGTTACTATTATTGCTAAATTACACCCTCCAACTGTATCTTGTCAGATTTTCACATTTATTGATTCTCTCCTTGAAACAGAAGTGGAGGAAATAGTAAATCAATAATTCAAGTGGTTTGGGGGGCTTTTCAAAATGTCATTAATTGGAATTGACTATTGTCATGATGAATCTAAAAACAAAGTTTCCCCAAGAAAGCCTGGCGGTTGGGCCCTAAGGCAGTCATTCATCCAGCTGCCCGTTGTGTTTTTGAGGTAAAAATGTTTAAAGTTCACAGAAAATTTGAAAATATCACTTGGTAATTATGAGGTATTGAAAGATTAGAAGATCAATACCTGAACACCACCTATAAAGTAGCAAAAAAAATTAAAAATTTAAAAAAAAGAAGCTATGTTTAGCCTGGAGGGGGCACAAGTCAAGCCTGGTGGTCTGCCAGACTTATAATACACAGAGGGAAACCCTGAAATACCTTTTACATTTTTTCTTTTTCGCAAAAAGATAAATCTCCAATTCCTATTGCTCACATGAAATTTAGGTCAATATTCCTGCGAGGCAAAAAACAAAAAAAAAAACAACAACCAATTTCTCCCTGATTTTTCTACTAATCAGTAGGTTAGGTGTACACAGGTCACACATGTCAAGTTATTAAGAACCCTGGTTAGTTTTTGTCGCAGTTCAAATGAAAGACCACCATTAACATTCATAAAAGCAGCAATCAAGCAGCTCATTGGCTAAACAAATCTCCTGTATATGATGGTAGTCCTATTAAAAAAAACAAAAAACTGTCTAATCTTTCTTGTTTACATCAAAATTATCATAGCCATCCAAACACTGACTTTTTCAGAACATAAAGAGCAAACAAAACAAACTCTGTTAATTTATTAACCTATTTCCAGGCAGAGATGACTGAAAGACTCGCTGACTAAAAGAATAGGCAGCAATTGCTTTACATTGTGTCACGGCTTAACTCTCCAGCTATACAGACTCTTAGTTTAGTGCTATTTTCAAACAGCGTTGCAATGAACCAGTGTGAATTTAAAGCATCTGTGTGCACTGCCATGGCTCCTGCAGTTTTTTTTCCATCTGACCGTGTATATGTATATGTATATATATAAATAAATAAAAGGACAGATGACACCTGATTTAGCTGGTCAATAAACTTTAGCCCACATTTCTTTACAGCAGATTTTCAGTAACAGATTATCACAAAAAAAAAAATCTAACAAGTTGATGAGCATATTAGCAATATAAAACTCACATATTTATAAAACAAGCAGTAATCAGATTTTCTAATTAAGCTAATTTCTAAAAGAATATTTTTACCGAGACTTTTCTTTTCTCTTTGGTTTGATCTAACAGTAAGAAGTTAGTAAACATTATTTCAAATTCTCAGAGAGCAAAACAAAAACTTTCAAAAATATTTTATGTTTATTGTTGAATAAACTTTAAAAGTTTAATAAAATTGAAATTACTACTTCATATATTGGTAAAATAACTGCATCTTAAGCTGAGCAGTAACCTCCAGTTGCAAGGCTGTTTGTCACTGCATTATGAAGTGAGATACAGTGATATTGTCTAAGGCTAAGCTAAATCCCACCTGCAATGTTAATCTCCTTAAAGTCCCACATACCTCCCATCATCATCTCTGATGATGCCCACACAAGTCTCGGTCACAAGAGACTCCATCTCGGTTACAGCACCATGTATCTGCACCCTGTGAGGAAAATACGCTGTTGTGCTCCAAATAACTTCGGTTCTCACATTACTAACGACCTGATAAGCAACATAGTAACATGAGCAGCTGACCCACACCTCACAAACCTGGGTGACACCCTGGTCGGAGCAGAGTACAAATATTAAGAGCATCAGTGAGGATCATTGTTGGGCGGCACGGACTAAAATTAATACATTTGCTTTGCATAAAGTATGAAAGGGCCAAGTCAGATGGATGTACAGTTCACTGGATGATGGCATAGTTCTGACAACATTACTGGTTATAAGACTTCTTAGTGCACAGGAGTAAATTTGAAGAATGCTGCATGTGAGGACATTATTAAGAGTCACGCTTTATGGACGAAAAGCCAAAGATATTCAACTTCAGAGTTCATACAACATTTCTATATTTATCCAGACTCAAATTTTGTCATTGCAAGTCAGTTTTTGTAGGCCGGTCACCATTTTCCACTAGCATACACATTTAATAAATATTTAGTAAGAGCTTGGATTTCTGTTTTCTCCATCCTCAGAAAAGTATTAAAGGTGTTCAAAGTTGTATACCAAACATTTGTAAAAACTGAACAACTACTAACTGGGAGGGTAATTACCTTCCTAACTGAGCAATTAATTGAGCTACTAATTGAGATCCTCCTACGTTTGTAAAATATGGACATTTTATTGGGTTTTGCGAAACATCCTAATTTCTTCTCTTTCTCCGTCATTCTTGATCTTTAGCATTTAATTTATTGATCGCAAAGGCCAGCCGAACTTTGTTGACTGTTCTCCTAACAGTCAACTGTGTAGCAAACTGTGTTGCGGGCCAGCAACACAGTTTATAATCCAAGAAAAAAAATATTTAATGAACAATTCACGATGCTGTCTCCATCAAATTCAATTCACAAAGGTGCTACACAGCGGGTGCTGTTGGGTGACATTCATGTCAACTGAAACTGTTTTAAGTTTCAATCTATCCAGCAAGTAAAAACGAATATGAAAAGGGAAAAAAAGCTATATTTTCTGCATTTGATGTTCAAATCACAAACTGATAAAAATCGGCCGATTCCGACCTCTCGCTGATTGATTGGTGCATCTCTAATTTCAGGCACCAGGCTAAAAACAAACTCCAGGCTTATCATCACCAGGACGCAGCGCCAGCTGACTCTTATAGTAACTTCCAAGAATCACCTTCCCCTCATTTACATTACAGACCCGCTCTCAGATAATGTGGTCCAATTTTAAAAAGTAGCCTGGCGCACTTGGACACGCTGCTTATTAAACACTGCAGTGTTCAGTTTGAGGCGGACCGCTATTCAAATTTTCACCAACTTTTAAAGTGCAAAAAGCACACACCTGAGCGCTCATATTACCCAAGCAGGCACTGAAAGGCTAACTTCCCTAAGAGTGGCTAACCTAACTTGTTGCAAACATTTTAACTGCGGTCCAGCTGTTTTGATAGGACTGTCAGAGGTCGGTGACTCCAGAACAACAACCAGCGAGCGCAAATAAAAGTAGCTAGCCACCTAGCATTGCTACCCTTGGATGAGTTCTCCTTACCTTTTTCTTGGTTAAAAGAGATTATTTCCTCCTCCTTCGGGTTGGAAACTTGAGTTATTATGGACATGTGGTCCATTGAGGCGGGTGTTTATTCTTGCTTCGTCTTGCAACAATGTTATTCGCGGTGACGCGCTCGCTTCGTCTGCTAGCTCCACTAAGCTACTAGCAGTTGACGCCGAGGGCGAGCAGCTTGGCCACAAAGCCAGGAAACCGTCTGAGGCGAAGCGTTGTGGCAGCGGTGGGAGCCAGCCAGCTAGCACGGCGCAGTTTGGAGGCTGTCATCTATGGCTGACCGAATATATATATATGTACATATATATCTGTATATATATGTACATATATATCGCTTCGAGCAGCTTCGGCAATGTCTCTGTCTAAAAAAAAAAGAAAGAAAGAAAAAAGAGAGAAGAAAACTAAAAACCGAGCTTAAACTACAAACTAATTAAAGTCGGACAGCAGCGTTGGGGTTAGCCAGTTAGCTCCAAATATCCAATGCGAGGCCGTCCCCGTCGGCAACAGCGCTGAAAACACTCCGAAGCTCCTTCTGGGGATTCGCTGCCCGTCCAAACAAACAACAAAAAAAAAAAAAAAAAAAAAAAAAAAAAAGCATGAATTACTCACAAGTGACTCGGCGTCTTAAAAGGGAGACATGCACTTTTTAAGCAGCGTTTCACGACATTCCCTGTGCAACATGGAGGCTTTATGTGTTTTGAGTTCCATCTGAAGCGGGGGGCGTTCGAGTGGGAGGGGGTGGTTTGTTTCCGTGATGGAGTCTCCCCAGCGGGCGGCTCAAACCGTGCAGCTGGCTGGACGCTGCTCTCCCCTCCTGCACTCGCAAACGCCACAAATTACGAAATGCGAATGACATGCATTTAAGGAAATAAACTCAAATACAATAAACGTTAACTGCAAAAAAAACTTAAACCACGATGCAGACGGTGTATGTAGCAAATCCAACATTCCATCTAGCACTTAGTTTAGCTATGTTCCGTAACGTTTGGTGCGTGTTTTGTCAACGTTTAAAGACTTCTGAAAAAAAAACTGGAGCGCCATCAAGTGTTTGAATCAGTGAGATGCATTTAGGATGTTTTTTGGAGTCTCCTAAAACACTTGCTCGGCACTGCAACAAAACTCAGATAGAACTTTTTACTATTTTCTCACTGTTACTGTTCAAAAATCAAGGAAACCAAGGAACATGGAGAAAGAGTCAATAACAGGTAATAAATAGTCAATAAAGCCCAACAAGACTGTTCATATAAACAGAAGATATTCACATCTTAAATGTGGCTGGTTCTGATTAAATTATTGTCTTTTGATTTCCATCCATATTCTTTTTCATTTACATATAGTGGGTGTACTGGCCACCCCTATTTTTTCCCCTTTTTTGCCATTCAGAAACGCTTTAGATCATTGCCTAAAGCTGAATAATACAAGTGTACAATTGCTTAAACTCAACATCTGGTGGCTGGGGGTATTTTTTAGCTGGACATATTTGACACAACTTTCTATTTAACGAGTAAATTCCCCAATAATTAATGAATTGAAATTTATTTTCAAATGGAAATTCGTTTTCAAACTTTTCTTCATACATAACAAATGTATTTAAATTCATTTGTTATTATTTGGGAACAATAACAAATGGATCTAAATATGAAAACATGTTACTCATGCCTGATTCTTTTTTTTTAAATGATCTGAACCATTTAATAGCAACAAAAAATACACCTTCAACACCTTATCTAAGTACAGTAATGTGTGTAGAAATTTCTAAAAATATCCTTTTGAGTCACAAAATTGCATAAATGCGGCAACTTTGGACTGTAAGTAAACATATCATAGGAGTGCTGTATTTAACATCAGCTGTTAAATACAGAAAATGCAGACAATGCACCTTTGTTTTGGCGCCCCCTCTACCATAGCGCCCGTATCCTGCATAAATGACTAAAGTGAGCACAAGAAAGCGGCTGAAGGAGTCAAATAAAACAAAACAAAAAAATACAATTAAAATAAATGTTAAAAAAAAAAAAGGACCAGGCTTGACATGTCCCTTTGCTTTGTTTTTTCCAATCGCGTCTAATTCATCACCTTTTGCTGCGCGATGGGTTTTTGATCAGAGCTGCTGTTGCTGCAGTGGATGCAGAACCACCCTGCTCATTTCTCCCACCACAGAGAGTTTCGCTCTGGTGCTGACGGGCTCGTGGTGGACCACCCCTCACTGCGGTTCTATAGTGAAGCATAAATATATTCTCCTCCTCCTCTTCCTCCTCGTTTTCCTCCTCCTCCTCGTCTTCCTCCTCCTCCTCCTCCGGCTGAGCCCGCAACATCCTGACCGGCCCTGGCTGGTGTCAAGGAGCGCCAAGCCCGCACAGGGACGGATGAATTAGTGAACCTGCAGTCACCGCCATTCGCTTCGTTTCTCATTTCTTCTCTTTTTTGAAGAGTCGTGGTTGTGCAAAGCGGACACAAGGTTGGTGAGAGTAATTTTCATTTATTTATTTATTGTCATCTGATTTGTCACAAGGAATCGAATTAATCCTCCTCTGTTGGCGCATGCGTCTTTATTTTGGCGTGCAGTGAAAGAAAAACTAAAACAAACAAAAACAAAGAAAGGAAGAAAGAGAAGCCTTAATTTGTATGCAAAGCACTTTGCTAGGGTCCTGCACAGCCGTGGTGACATGTTGGCACGGACGCCTCGGAGTTTTTAGCCCTACTCCTTTTAGAGCAGAGTGCGCTTAATGAACTCGATGAACGCGCAGACTGGGCGCAAGTGGCGCTATCCTCCTCTGGGGAGGAAAAAAAAAAAAAAGTAGCCGTCCTCAGTTTTCCCAACTCCCGATGCACCATTCTTGGTTATTTCCAGTCGGAGCTAATTATTCTGCGAAGTGAGTCCCCCAAGCAGCGGGGCTCAGATCACATAGCGCTGCAGCTGCCCTGCTTGCGCGGCGCAGCGGCTGAGAGCTAAAATAGGAAGGAGAGGTTGGGTTGCGCAGCTGACGGTGCTGATTCCAAGCAGCCAGACCTCTTTCAGTCCCATTTAAGTCTACAGTCTCTCGATCGTAAAGGCTTCTTAGTAAAGTGGCACTTCATTTTAAAAAAAAAGTATAAAAATATATATTTTTATGGGGTATTTTTGTATTTCTGAATAAGAAATGAACAGCTCTTTCATCGGTAGAGTCAGTTCCTCTCCCAGATCCTTTGAGAACGTTCCCGCTTGAGAAATGTTATGTGTTGGTTGGAGTGATTGTGACTATATTTCTCGACACTTTCAGGCCTCCAGCGCACAGATTGGCCATGGGGATCAAGGCTGCTCTCCCCAGATATGAGCTCTATCTCTACTCTGCTGTGCTCGCAGGGGCTCTGATATGGGCTGGCAGTTGGATACTTGAAGCCTCCAGTGGTGAGTGCGAAATCCCTCCAGGGGGAATTGAAAAAACACTCAAACACACACGCACATGAATGTAGAGGGCTGTTGTACACCCATATCTCCCTAATTAGTTCAGTGTTTTATCAAGATGCAAAAAACTTCCAGGGATCATTAATGGGACATTTTTGTGCGATAGATTGACAGGAGATTCTGAACTTGAATTAAGTCTGGACTTTGACTTGGCTATTAAAACTCTTGCTGTGATCCAACCTATATCATTTATGTGTAAAGGGGTGATATTATATATTTTCTATGCACAGTACCATTTTGTAGCCACAATCAAGTAACTATGTTGTATTCAATTGTTACAATAATGCTGCATATATCAAACATGACTTAAAATACATTTTCCTTAGCAATTTAACTCTTTGAAATTGGGTCTCTATCTCTTTAAGAAGCTCCTTCTCCTTCTCTGACAAACCGCCTGCAGGAAGTCATCACAATTACATTCCTCTGTTAACCTGCTTACAATATTTTTACCAGTGTTGCACCAGTGGCTTTGTTTCAGCAGTCATTTTTTTCTTGATACTCCTCCACAAAGGCCATATTTTTGGAGTTTTCTTTGGTTTTGTTTTGTTTTTTGACTGATAGTTGTCCTATGAACAAAAATGGATCTCTGCAGCTCCTCCAGAGTTACCATGGTTTTCTGGGCTGCTGCTCTGGTTAGTTCTCTCCTTGTCCTGCTACGTTTCTTTGCCAAATTCCAACAGTGATTCAAGAGACCTCCAAAGCTCGGGATAATACATCCTTATTTGCAATAGATTTTTTTTTAAAGGGGTATCAGCAAAAGACGACCGAATACAGATGCATGACCCCTTTTTTTGTTCACTTCCATAACATGTCATAATTATGAACACTAGCTTGTGTTCTTCTTTCTCAAAGTATTTCCAGTGAATTTAAAGCTTGTTGTTGCAAGGTGAACGAATGTGGAGCAGCTTAATGGATGTGAATACCTGCTTTTAAGGTTCTGTAGAGGCGTACCAGCAATTTTCTAGAAAGTGGTCCAGCAAGCTTACTCTCTGGTTTAAATAAATCCAGCTGAAAAATCTACAAAAGTGGGACTTTTTTTCAAATCAAATTGTTTTCAAAGACTGGGTCTTCATCTATTATCGCCTTTCCCAATTTAATCTGAAAGTAGACCAAAGATCACACAACAGATTGAAACGAGGCCATTTTACCCAAAGGGAACCGCTGCTGCATGATCTTATTAATGTGATGACAATTTAAAGACAGTGATCCCTTTTAAAAAAAAAAAACACAGGGAAAACCGAGGATTTTTCAATGTTTAATGTGCAAATAATCCAACCCCTACATGCTAGAAGTCCTCTTTCGCCCCTCATGAACACATGGATCTGAATGGACCGAGTGTAATCCGGTGGCTGGTACTGTTTGTCACCGTCTGTGCTGTCAGATGATGAGTCCAGGCACCTTCCCGATGCAGAACAGCATCTTCCCCTGCTGTTCTGCTTCACGGTTTACCGCCTGCCTCGTCTCTACAGTCCGTATCTGCATGCTGCAGCGGCTCTGTATACTGGCAATAAAAAGGCTGGCTCTGCTCCCAGAAGTAAGAGGCTTTTCCCGCCGCCCCCGACCTGCCCTCACATCATTATGTCTTTCTTTTTTCTTTATTTTTTTCACAGCCATTAGGGTAATCGGGAAAAAGCTACACCAGCGCCAGACGGTCAGAAACTAAACGTTACAAGTGCTGTTTCTCTTTTTAATTATACTTTATTGTCGTACATGTTGCAAGTTTTTTTTTTTTTTTCAGGCTTCATAGAAGACTAATCTCCTCCAACAAGATTATTGCACGATTACAGATTCCCGCCTCAAAAATAGAAATCTCAGCACCGAGTGGGTTATGTAACATTCGATATCATCTAATGGTCCGAATGGGTTCTCACATTACTAAATTCACACAGCAGATAATCCAATAATCAGGCCAGCGCTTGTAGGACGTCTGAGTACCTGCAGGATCATTTTTGCGAAGCTACTCGACTCATGCTTGTGCTCGTCTGCCCCTTCATTCAGATAATGTAAACAGAAAGGCCTTTAAGGAAAGTGTGAAGCCAGGATGGCATTATTTTGGCAGGAAAATGGTGAGTTCTCCTTTCACAGCAAGCACAAATATGAGTGGGTGTTGCAGTAGCAGCAACCGATGCACCTTTCTTCTTCTTCTTCGCCTCACAGGATGTTGCCGACTTCGAGTGGATGATGTGGTTCTCCACATTCCGCAATCACATCCTTTTCGCGCTCACCGGTCACGTGATCTTTGCCAAGATATTTACCCTGCTCGCTCCAAAGGTGTGTGGGAGTGTGTTGTAGAGCAGAGGCAACGCCGCTGAGACGGCGCTGTGGTTTGTCTGCACGTCTTTTGTTGCTTGTATGTGGACTGGATGTAATGTACGCGTTGCATATGATCTGTCTTAAGAATGAATGCAGGCAGTCAGATTTGATTGGGTTTGTGTTGATGCATAAAGCAGATATTAGATCAGGGGTTGAATATTTATAC